CAATTTAGCTCGTATAATCTGCCAATGCTGATTAGGCAGCCCGTTTGTACAACATTTTGTATATTGCTTTGAAGTACCTATTTTAATGGCCTTATTATATTTTTATCAGAATATAATAATGGATTATGATATGTAATAATATAACACAATTAATTACAATTACATGACATAATAAGTACTTACTGGGGGGGGGGGTAGTTTTCTAGGAGCAGGTCCTCTCCTTTCGGCCGCAGAAACCATTGTAGGGTATAGAACTCCGTTGCTATCTCCTAGCCCTTACAAGGCCGATGCGTAGTAAACCAGTTACAATTTTCTTTTTTTTTGTTTGAATCACGAGATGGTTTGAATGATCAGCATTCTTTAATCATCGATATACTGCGTTAAACACAGTGCACAATAATGACAAACCAGGAAAAATGGCGTTCACAGAAGAAGAAAGGAAATTCCTGTTCCCCATAAATACCTGTACTCAGCCCAACAAACTAATAAACAACTCCTTTAAAAAAAAAATGGCTTCTGGCTGCTCCCAACAACAATTACACACTCCCTTCACCGCGTGGTTTTTTTTTTTAACACACCGGCATGGTCATACGTCATAGCTCATACGCCATTCGTTGCTGAGTAAAATTGGTGAGATATAAGGGGAAATAACTAAAGGGAAAAAACTATCGCCAGCTCATAAACTTTCAAAATTAGACACAGAACGACATCACGTGATCTGACCATGACAGTTGGACCGGGCCTCTTTTTTAAAATAATTCCGTCTTTTAATGTAACATCAAACTTTTTGTAGGTTATTTAATGGTGTATGTGTTAAAAAATTTGAGAATCGCTGGGTTACCAATCACCAGGCGTGGGTACATGGGAAAACAATAATAACTACATATATACATATTATAGGGGGAAAATATAAATTTTACATAATCCAGCTCCGGGAAACAAGACCCTGCACTGAGCTCCAGCTCCCAGCTCCCAGCTCAGCTCAAAATCCCTGGTTTTAATGGCTAGGACATACCCAAAGAAAGGTAACGAATGGGTTGGTTAAAACATTGGTCCCAACAACAGCACCACAGCCTGTACTTGTTTGCTTAACCTAGTTTGTTTGCTTTGTTTAGCTGACATACAAATTTAATGGGTGGCTTTTTTAAACGATTTATTTTAAAATATTTTCATTAAGAGCATTGTTAGAGGTATGGCCTGTGAGATTTATGTAGACTGCTTTTTCACGAGCTGATAAGCTTGCATTTTGTTTCTACTTTATTGCACACACTTTTCACGCTTTTATCATTTCAGGACAGAACCAATGAGCTCCAACTTTTTGTTCATGATGGCTCTTTTGACAAAAAGTTGTAACAGCTATGCTGCCTCCATTACTCTGCCATTTATTTATTTCCATTTGTTCTACCACTTATGTTGCCACACTCTTCAACGGCCATATGTCCCCCACTCTTTTACCAGTTACGTTGCCCCGCACTTGTCTACAGCTTTGTTCACCCCACACCTCTCCCCCCCAGCTTTTATTACCCTACACTTCTACAGCCATGCTGCTCCACCCTTGACCAACTGTTGCCCTATTCATCTACCACGCTTTTCAAACAGCCCAAACGTCTCTATCAGCTTCAGTGACCATTTTCTACCAGCTGTGTTGCCATAAGGCTCTACCAGAAATGTTGTCCCACTATTCTAAAAGCAATCATTCAAGTACATTCATTTCTAAATCAGGGTAAATAAGATCAGTATGTACCCAACACAAGCACATTTCCTTAAAAACTTAGCTACCCTCAGAACCCCCACCCACCTTTCTTTCCTATATAAACATAATAATCTTAATCCTTTGAATACATTATGTTTTAAGTCACTGTAGCGATTTACGATGTTTCTTTTAATTTATTCATGCATAAAAAACAACAATCGTGTGAGTTATTTGCTAAAAAATGACTTAAAAACCAAAAAATTTGGGAAAGGACAAATTACACTTGGTACCGAATAAACGCAGATTAATTGATGAAAACATATGCGATTTAAAAAAAAGTGTACCAGAACTCGGAGCTTAAATGTAGCTAGTCTAACAAACATGTGTCTGCAAAGAGATGCTTGCTTCTACGAGACTGCAGTGGATTTAGTAACTGTGCGTGAATGTGCACCCGGTGAAGCCAACAGGATCTATCCTAGAGCGTCTGTCTCCAAGTAGAAGGTCAGAGCTGCTTCGGCACATCTCTCCGGGGAAAAGGTAAAGAGAGTCTAGACCTTATTCCAAATATTAATAAATATAATTGATTGCTTTATAATTTGTCAATCCCCCTCACCAAATTTTTTGCTCTATATTTTTAACATTGATAAGTTTTACTTATTTTTTCATTCTTCAAATGTGATTTTTATAAACTCAGTTTTAAAAGTAATTTTCCATTTAAGCAGAGGAAATTTATAGCAAAATACCACTCAACAAATCATATTTCATTCATCTTCCTCTTTAAAATCAGGAAAAAAAAATGATTTTTGGTATTAGGAGGTGTTGGTTGGGCTGAATATTTTAAATAATGAATTGCCATCGGCATCGAGTCTATGCGCCGTTAGTTTCCGTTCGATAGGACGACGGGAGGTGGGTCAATTAGCCATCTGAATTTTTTTCCTTAAACACATCACTAAAGAACAAAAGGGAAATTAAGATAAGGATTTACAAATACAGCCTTATTTTTTTTTTCATTTACAGTTCATGGGTGTGAATAAAGATGGGTTAAGATATACTTTCAAAAAATGAAATTATAATGTTTTTCCACTTTGCGGAAAGTAAAGTTCATGGAAAATTGGGTGTAAATTTGTATGAGATTATTCCTTTTTAAAAAATCACTTATGGATATTATAGACGTAAAAATGGGTTAATAATTTATTCTTCAGATACATGAATTCTGTGTTTTGCAATTTTCAGATAATATAGTAGAGAAGCAAGGGAAGAATTTGGTTATATTTATAATGATGATACCAAAATATCATATTCCTTTAATGTAAAAGATGAAAAATGGTGAATAGATTTTGTACGGTAAACTAAGGGACATGCTTTTTACAATTTTAAGAGGAAAATCAATTGTAGTTCATTTGCACGAATATGTGCAGGGTAGGCCTATATTATAAAGCAGATTAATATTTCTCAAAGCTAAATGATGTTAGAAACGTAAGCATAATCATAAGGATACCGGTACTTCTTTTAAAGTAAGAATTTTAATTAACTACTACCTAATAATATATCAAAGGGACATGAAATTATACCATTCTTTTCTTTATATTTAATTTTTAAAAAATCAAAACTTGTTTCAGTTATGTTCGTAAAAAATAAAATTATTTTTTTCTGTGAGAAATGTTACAATATAATGATATAAAGTCTCGCAAATTGTCTACTATTATTATCCCTGTAACAACGGGTCATAAATTCTAGTTATAATTACAACAATAACTATAAAAAGATTTTTTATTAAAGTATGGTTATCTTTTCTTTTAATTTGTTTTTGTTTTGTTTTGTTAACATTAATGTATTTATAAATAACTATATCTTTTTTATAAATTAACTAGTGGGTAGGATTTGTATTAGCTATTTGTAATCGCCTTCTATCACAAACGTTTTATTTTAATAATGCTTTGATGTATTTTATTATTTTTTTTTCTTCTAGTTGCTTTTTTTTCTTTTTTAGTTTGTTGTTATTTATTTAACATCATTTTAAGCAATTAACATTTATATTCAAATTTTTTAGCATACCTTATTTTATCTGGTGCTGGCATTTCAGGCACTCATCCCCCCCCCCTCTTATTCAGTATAATTAATATCTAACCCGCAAAGTGATGCGAATAGCTTTAAGATTTTCTATAAGTGATATAGAAAAGTTTAAGCTTAAAGCCCCCTTACTTTTTCTGAATGTATGTGTCAGATTTTCAGCTTTTTGTGGACTTGGTTTATATTTACCTAGATTCTTCCACGTTCACTTCTGAGATGTAAAACTTATTAAGGTCTTTAATTTTCTTGTCAGACATTTTAATTGAAACATACAGAGAGCCTACTACGTGGATGCGTGCACCTTTCAAGCGTGATCTTAAAAATATGTTTACTAAAATAAATTTTGAAAACGAATCAATTATCTAGATTCCAATATTACACCTTCCCCCCTGTTTTATCTTTGCCATCTTTCTATCCTAAGCTTGAAAAAGTAAAAGCAAACTTACACTGCCAACTAAGTGCAGTAACTTAAAGTAAAAGAAGCAAACTTACACTGCCGACTAAGTGCAGTAACTTAAAGTAAAAGCAAACTTACACTGCCAACTAAGTGCAGTAACTTAAAGTAAAAAGTGAAAATGAAAATCACAATGAATTGGAAAAAACCCAAGGGTTCCCAAAGTTTATTTGTGAAAAGAAGATTTTTAAAAATAATAATATACATATTTCCATTTCTATAGCTTTTTTCCCCCATAAACTTTTTAGATTTTCCTCGACTTAATTGAAATTATTTCTTTTTGTGTGGAAATATAGCAAAAGTAGGTATCATGCAGCTTTCAGTAGTTTTCGAAGAGGATTAGTAGTATAACATACGATGACAGCAAGACGTCGGGAAAAACAAAAAAACTAATATAGGATGGCCGGCCTATAAACTTCTGGTACATGGCCGAAAACTTCAATCACTTTCGGCCGAAATCGCAAATAAGATTATGATGATTGATGATAATGATTATTGAATAATTTTATATTGCTTGTGCCCATGTTAGTATTTGAGAATCCTCACAGTCACGGCACTCAAATGTCTTAAAAAATCTTTTTTTTTTTTTTTTTTTTTTTTGGGGGGGGGGGGGGAGTGTTTTATCCTACAACATTTATTTCAAATTTCTGTGCCGATCCATGGAATCAAATCAAGAAACTAAGCGATCCCCTGGTTACTAATAATAGTTGTGCTCGAACAATCCAAAGCTCTGAAAAGAAATAGCGGAAATTTTCCGTTTCATTTTCCCTTTCTTTAAGTCATAACATTTCTAAGAAAACTGACGTGGCAAGACCGACATATTTTCATTTCATCTTAAGGCATCACATTGCAGTTTAAAAGTAAGTATTTTGATAATTAAATATTACATGATCTATCCCCAAAAATGTGTTTATTATCAAATAATCGAATTTCAAAAAGTTCTTGCTGAGAACCAATTATCTAAATGTCATTTCTAATGAAATATTGCAATTGAATAAATGATAGAACCCCGTTGTTTTAATTTGTCACGAGACTAAGACGTCTAAGAGAGTGTAAAAGTATGGTTTGTTGTTTATTATTTTAAAAATTGATATAATTAAAAAACATGAATGCATGTGTTTGGTATTTTATCTGATCTAAAATACTGTATAAAATTATACTGCTGTCATTCAAACTTTGCTACCAATCAATACGACTTTAGGCCTAATATTTTTTTTGTTTAAATCTAATTTGAAAGCAAATTAATCGTGAATTCCTAAAAGGGATTTCATCTTCAAAATTGTCAAAGAAATCTAAATTAATGTAATTGGCTGAAGTAGCAACACAAAACAGAATCTTTTGAGACCTTAATTTTAATCCTAAAATGCTAGTATGCAAAGATCAGAGTGACTACGTGTGTCTGTAGTATGGGACGATCGATCAGAAGATGACCCGTAGCCGGAAATTTGATCGAAAGAAATTTTGTCGACGGTCAATTGATCGAACGGAAATTTGGTCAAATTTTTTTTTCAGTTAAATATTGCTTCAAATTTCGTTTTGGACGCATTATTTTGTTTTACTATGTAGTATATTGCGTTCAAAAAGAAATTTGACGAACATTTTAACGTGTGAACTGAAAAAAAAATGATTTGACCAAATTTCTGTTCGATCAATTTACCGTCGATCATTTTATCGTCGACTAAATTTCTTTCGATCAAATATATACGCAGGACCTATATATATATATAAGAATGGGCTAGGCTGACCATTTAGCAGATAAAAAAGAATCTGTTAAGTACGTTCGGATTGTTGAAAAAGATTCATATCAACTAAAATAGAAATAAAAATATTAAAATAAATTTAAATGATTAAAATATAGATCTGCTTATATCTATGTAGGCCTATATGTTAAGCATTATAGAAAACACATTTTATATAAAAATTAAAGTGATTTTACAAGTATTTTATACAAATTTGAAAGTTCAGATCTTATTTTGTAATTTAAATTAATAAACTGTAATCTAATTATTACTACTTTATTACTAATTCACGGATTACATTTATCGGGAAAACCCGAACATCAGAGGGAGGGGCTGTTAGTGCGCAGTTAATATTGCGAAATAAATTTAATGTCATGCTAATGTATTTCAAACAATATTAAAATCAAATTAATGATTGGAGTGACAAAAAAGGAAAAAAAAATTAGAATAACTTATAAGAACTTAGTTTAAACTCGCAAATCACAAGCCTTTACTTTTGTTGATTTAATAACTGTGTGTGACGAAATTGATGGTCAGAAGTCAAAAGGCATTAGGGTTTTCCCCTTTTAAAAAAATAATGTTAATAAATATAATTAAATGATTTTAAAAATTTTTTATTCCACCCCATCAAATTTTAACTTTGCATTTTTAACATTTAATATCATCATTAATTTTTCATTCCATGAATGTGCTTTTATCAAATTTATACCAAAATGCTTTTCTCTTTTTAATGTCAGGATAACAAACTGCCCCATCCATTGGCATTGCACTCATTTTTATAGAGTAACTTGCCCCAATGCAACCACGAGTCAACTCTTCCTCACAACTTTTTAATGATTGGATATTAATTGATTGATATTAATTTTATTTTAGATGAGATAGCAGAAGAAAGCTAAGAATTTTTTATTTTATTTTTTGTGAACTAGCATCATACCAATTCAATTTTTAGGTACGTGTTGGCCTCACAACCCCATGGCTGCAGGGAACTTTGGGTATTTTAGACTGTTTTTAACTATCTACTTTGAATTCGGGGGGGGGGGGGGGAAAAAACCAAAATAAAATATATATTAATATTAGTAATGTGGCTTTGAATTTTTATGTAATATATTTTTGGGTAAACTTCTTAAAAAGGTAATGAATTTTTAAAAAAAAAATATAAAGAAATTCCTACAAAAAATGGAATTTTCGTCACAAAAACACACGATTAAGATCATTTTACATGATGAACTCAGTGCTTGTATGATTTTACACGTTGAATGATCTGCTGGCATCGTTTTAAACGCCGAACGCGCTGCCAGCAACATTTTACATGTTGAGTGCACTGCTAGCATCATTTTAAGCGTCGAAAGCAGTGCAACCATAATTTGAAAATGTGAACAGTGAACAAAGTGCTGGCCTCATTTTACATGCTGCATGCACTGCTAGCATGGTTTTTACATGGTGTACGCAAATAAAAAAAAAAGACTTGTAATAATTTTTCTTTTCTAACTATTGCAAACTTTCTTAGAGTCAAAGAGAAAAAAAAAATGTTTTGTAGAAAGATCTCTACATTTGTTTGGATTTTAATTACTGGCCGTTTTATGAATTATACATGAACGGCATGATTTTTATTTAGAAGACATGAGATGTTTACAAATGACATCATAAAAATGTCATTTCCACCATTTTTTTGTCAACTTCCGCTATGCCAACAACAAATGCGACCGATTCACCACCGAGAAGAAGAAAGCGGGTCAGAAAGGAAAGGGGGGGGGGGGAGGCATTCGTTTGAAATTGAAATGCAGAACCAGGGGCTTTCTTCCACCTGTTGTTTTGGGAAACGTTGGATCACTGTGCAACAAGATGGATGAACAGGATTGTTGCTGTAACCTTCCCTTTTGTTTCGCGAAAGCTCTTCAATATGCCTGAAAGAAACATGGCTTAACGAAACGGTACTAGATTCAGCAGTGACACTGGACGAATTTAACATTTTCCGTGCTGATAGAACAACCGACAGCAGCAAATCCAGCAATTGGCGATATATGTTAACAAAAACTACTGTAGCATCAACAACAGTACAGTGAAACATGTAGTTTGTACACCCGACATCGACATAGAACTACTCTGCATCACTTTAAGGCCATTTTACCTGCCTGGGGAGTTCATCCAAAACTGTATCACCCTCACTTACATTCCTCCTAATGCTAAAAAGCTGCAGGCTATGGAGAGACTTTTGGATGTAATCCATGAAAACTAGGACTCCGAAAGTCTGGCATTCAGCGTGCTCCCCCTGAAGTCACAGATCTTAATGATAACTGATATGAACTTAAGAGAATTCACTGAATGGCTGGGATTTTTTTCTTCTTTTTTTTTCACTAATGAATTATTTTAATATGGATGTCTCGTGTTCAAATTGTTTTATTTATGTGCTGAAAATTTATAATGCAATCAAAAAGCATTTCCATTTGTTTTGTTCAATAAAATAATATTATCTTATTTATTTATAAAAATTTTATTTTATCTGAAGGACATCGTTTAAAAATAGAGGATTTTTTTTAATGATTATTTGATTATTTCAAAATATAATAACGTTCTTCGGTTAAATTAAAAATGCCTCTTCTATATACCGCAACACATCAACATTGCTCTGTCTATTGGATTCTCATCTAAAGCTTTTTTTTTTCAAATGTGCGTGCAAATAGATAGATTGTTTATTGCAATATTAAAAAGAGGAAAACCATTGGGAATCTAAAAAAAATATAGGCTAAGAATTTTATTTAAATACCCACTGTTCAGGAAACTTTGTTACAAAAGTAGAACATTTAAAGAACACTCAAACTCTTTGGTTGTAATAATGGATGAAGCATGTGCTCTTTGCATGCTCCCTTTGAATTCGTAACTTTTGTTTTTAAAATATATTTCAGTTTTTTTAAATAAAATTTTCATTTTTTTCCCCAGCTTTACGTACATGGAGTCGAGCACATTTGTAATGGTGCTAATAATAACTATTTTTTTTTTATAAAGAATGGGGCCATCGTAAAAACACCATTTCCATACTTTAAAAGTCATGCTTTTATTATGAAATATAATTTGAAAAGATGAATCATGTTTGATGCTTAGCGAGAACTGTATAAAATTATAGACCTTAAAATTGAAGCAACTGTAGTTTATCACAGTGTCATAAAAGCCTTTGAACTTGTGAATTTTCAAAAAAAAAAAAAAAATTTTAAATACCGATAAATGTGAAGAACAGGGAGTAATACTTCGGATCACAATTGGACGCGGCAAAAATTCGAAATATTTCAATATTATAATCGAGTAATCTAAGATTCTAGCAAGATTAGTCTTAAATATACGAAATATCAAATGTATCGAGCGTAGCAATATTTCCTAGATTCCACTAATTGTAAATGGTTAATGACAACACTTTATACTACTTTTAGAATTGTTTAAAAAATTACAATTTGGTAGTTTTTTTAAATAAAATATATTTAAGATTTATTGTTGTATATATTTTTGCTTCGTGGGGGCACCCCCCCCCCACTCCCAAATTTTGGTTATCCGAACACTGACATCATTTTGTTTTTCGTAATTAGCGTTGGATTAAGCATTTGTGTGCAAACAACGTACACTTATTTTTTTCACCTGTTTCATAATCCACGTATAATAAATATTGTACATGCAGTTACGAGTGTTATGACACGCTGATTGGCGTCGTCACAAGTAGCAACTAATCTTTGATGAGTAAGTGTACGTCCCAAGGATATTATGATCGGTTTCTTTTTTTTTTTTTTTTTTTTTTGCAAAAGCGCAATTTTTTCGAATTTAATTTTTTGCACTTTTTTTTTTTTTTTTTCAAACAACCTTTTTTTTAAAGGAAAAAAAAAATAAAAAAGGGTTTAAAAAATTACAATTTGGTAGTTTTTTTAAATAAAATATATTTAAGATTTATTGTTGTATATATTTTTGCTTCGTGGGGGCACCCCCCCCCAACTCCCAAATTTTGGTTATCCGAACACTGACATCATTTTGTTTTTCGTAATTAGCGTTGGATTAAGCATTTGTGTGCAAACAACGTAAACTTTTTTTTTTTTTTTTTTTTTTTTTTTTTGCAAAGACGCAATTATCTCGAATTTAATTCTTAGCACATGTCTTCTATTTTTTTCAAACAACCTTTATTTCAAAGGAAAAAACAACTAAAACAGGGTCTTCAACGGATGTGACACCAATGAGGTGGCCCATTCACATCGTCCTTCATGGTCCATAAACTGTCAAATAAAGATATTTTTTAACTAGCCATTTAGACCTGGGTGTGGGGGGGGGTGCCTCATCATATATCTTTAGGGGCCACGAAAACTACGAAAAAATACATTGATGTACTTAAAGAGAGCAATTCTTTTTATGTTAACTAACAGGGAAGGTGACCAACGCAGCTTAACAAGTTTACAGTGGGTTTTAAGCTAGAGTGTAAAGATAACTTGAAATCAAAGCATTAGTTAGAAACATCAACTAATCTATATTTATTTAATTTCTTTTTCAGAAACAAGCATTTCACGAGATGTCTTACCAGATATTGTCAATACTCGGTCAAGGAAGTTTCGGTTATGTGTACCATCTAAAGTTGCCTAATAGCAAAGAGGTATCTAAATATGTCTGGGTTTTTATAATCTTTCATATTAACTCCTTTTTTTCTGGTAAATGGCAAAGTCCCCCAGCCAGCTTTATTTGGCACATAGTCTCGTTGCCAATGACAACAATTTTTTTCAAATTTTTAGCCCTGCCATCAACTCCCAAAATACAGGTTTTAATTTCAAGGTGAAGCTATTGACCCACTTCTCGTAACTCTATCGAGTTGAAATTCGGCACACAGACCCGTTGACAACGACAACATATTTCATCAATTACGTTTCTCATCCCCAACTCCCAAAATCAGGTTTTAATGTTTTCCTAGTACATTTAATGATTTGTTCAATGGTTGCGTATTTCGGAGTCGAGATTAATTGTTTACCTGTTGCTATGTGCTTTGTATTTGTGAGAGTCTTGGACTGCGATAAAACTTTAAAATTGATTAATGAGACACAAACAATGTGTGTAAATAAAACAATATATATTCATCTTTAATGATTATTTTTACGAAATACAAATTCAGACTTTTCAGCAAATGCCTTTATCGGTACATAAAACGCAATATTTATATAAGTGTTAATTACATTTATATAATTATTATCGGTGATCTGCTTGCTTTTCATATTCAATCGGCTGGGTGTGTTTGTTCTGGTCACAATCACACTAAATGTAAAATCCGCATCCTTTTGTGGTCGTTTTTTATTGAAGTGTTTAGAGATACGACACTGTTTATCTTGTGCAATATTACTAAGGTTCTTAGTACATCTGTCAGAGAGTCGGCGTCCTGTTTCCCTGTGTACGACATCTGGCTCCGGTTGCAAACAATGACTTAGACAACATTACGGCTAATTCAAATAAAACCGTCCCTTATCTGAATATGCCCTACAGGAAAAGAATGTGTTATGACCACAAACATTCCCAGCCCATTAAATCCTTCGCTCTACCCCTCCGCATCAGCACCAACCAGAGTGGACTTTCTTCTCATCTTTTCTTTACCTTTTTGCATGCATTTAATCTCACCTACAAGTCTTTAGCTGCCTTCTCGGATACTTCTTTTCAGCTAAGTGCCAAAAATATTTTTTTATTTAATTCTGTTTTAATGTTGTTTGTTCGATAATGAAAGCTTCCTGCCTACACTTTCGTTGTATTTCTGCGGTCATTTTTTCATGTTTCCCCATACTTGTTTCATTCATTTTCTTTTTAGATGTTGTGCAGTTTTGAGAACTTTTGTACAACTTATGATCCGAACAGATCGGCATGTATGCATTATGGCACCATGGAAATATTGTTCCCCTAATCTCTTCAGCCACGAATTTTTGGTTTTGGCCTCCATGTGGTTTGCTTTGGAGTTTGCTGAGTTTCGCGCCTGACTTCTATTTTAGTCACACTATACATAAAAAAGATACATTATTTATAAACTTCATAATTTTTATGACTAGGGAAAGCGATGTGAGATTTGACGTAAAAACATGTCTTCTTATTGTGTATTTAACTTTTTCCAAGAAATGCTTTCCATCGAAGTTCTTGTTCCATTAGATATTCTTTTCTCTACAGAAACTCAACAGTTAGAATGTCAGGCTCTTCAGTGCGTGTCATCATACAACGCAACTCACGTTCCTGCTAGTATGATTGCATCCAAAAAATGCGCGCTCTGTTATGATTTTGCGTTTTTTTTTTTATTTAAATATTTCAAATTTTTTAACAGTTACTAAAAAAGAGAACAAAATATTTTTTGCAGATTCAAATTATTATTTTTCTCAAATGTTGTTCTCAGTTTTGACAATTTTTACATTCTTTAAAACTGAACAGGGTCATTTAAATAAAATAAAAAATTAATGAATCGTCTTGCCATTTATTAGTTTGTTAGTGTAGTCATATTTACTTTAAGTTATAGGATAAGCAGGAAAAAAATATATTATGAAATCCAATTTCATTAAATTACATTTGTTTGCTATGAACATACACACATACCTTGTTTATTTCCAGTATGCTCTAAAGGTCACAGACATTACACATGTACCTGCGATAATTGCAATAACAGAACCTGAAACAATGCTGCAGCTTCAACATCCTCATATCATACAGTTATGTTATGTCAACTGTGATCAAATTGGGCAGCGACGATGTTTGTATATGTTAATGGAGTACTGTGAACGTGGGACGTTGACCAAAGCCATTGCCAATGGCGTCTCAGAGGACCAAGCCATCACGTGGTTTATACAAATGGCGGATGCGTTGACGGTAAATCCCTTTCTTATATTTCAGGTTCTTTTCATGTCTCAGTAATATTTGGTTTACACAAAAAAAAGATCCTTTATCTTTTATAACTCCATAACTCATTAAAAATTACAATGAAAAATATTGCCTTTTTCTTCAACTCATTTCAATTAATAGTTTTTTTTTCCACACATGCTAAGACGTTTCCGAAAATGAAAGGAATAGTTTTAATTATATTTCATATTTTTCTTTACTTCAGGTAGTTTATTTTTAATAATTGGACTCGGTAGCATTAGCAGTCCATTGCTATTTTTGCGAGCGAAATTGATGGTCTTCCAGGGTGAAACAGGCCGAGGCTCTATTTAGAGAAACATTAACATCTCTGGAATCAAGGATGTCATTGGTAGCAAATCTTAAAAAACCGGAGACTAAGTAGAATTTGTATTTTTTCTAGAAAGTTTGTACGGTCGTTTTGCAATTTCACTATACCACCAAGCTGTACTCTATAACTGCTCGAACAACTGTGAAAGCTATAGTACAGTCTTTTCGCTTGACTGGTCTTTGGCTGGAATTTAATTCCAGTCCACCAACTTGAGGTTTACTCAGTTTAGACCATTCAGCCACCCATGTAATGCTATTTTAAAGACAGAAGTATTAAAAGACACACCGGCAGAACACATGGAAATAGAGATGGCTTTTGATATTTCTGAGTCTGATCGTAAGAAGCAAAGACGAACTATAATGACCGGTCGTGGTAATGCAGCTATGATTTTTTTTTTTTATTTGCTTGAAAATGAATGGCCCTGTCTTTGCAAATTTAACGTGGCGGTACACCTTGTAGAGCCTTGCAAATGGAAAGGCAAATGAAACTATCCAAATAATGAAACAAAAATGAAACAATATATTCTGACAAATATATGAAGAAATTGATTTTTCCCACTTTGTAACTTTTCGAATAATTAATGCATGATTCTATAAGAGATCAAAATAATAAATATGTTTGCTTGAAAGAAAAGTCACATCTATATAATTAAATTTAATCTAGTTTTGATGTTTGACGGTTTCCACGAAGTATCCGAGTTAAGTTTTGACATACAGGACTTGAACAAAACCTGTACATGGTGATTGCGGAAATCAAAATACGGGTACATTTTATTGAAAAAAGAAACAGAACGTTGGGGCCTGCTTGATGCTTTTCTCGATACTGGCTCACAAAACATAAAAACGAATGATATTAAATCAAGAAACGATTGGGCGCCTGTAAAGATAATGATGCATGCGTGTCATTAATTATCAAATTTAACATCAGTTGTGTTGATATTTTTTTTCAATATACAAATAGTTAATAATTTAGTAATGTGAGTGTGGTCAACGAATTCGTTTGTTATGCACTGCGAGCGCCCATGCTTCACGATGCGTATAGCTGTATTTATTGGATTAGGCTCATTTACAGATACTCCTCAAACATTAGGTATAGATGTATGTTATACAATAATGTTAATCCTCTGTCATTGCTGTTTCAGTATCTTCACAGCAAAAAAGTGATGCATCGTGATATCAAGCCAGACAACATTCTTCTTAACAGCAACAACGACATAAAAGTTGGAGATCTTGGCACTGCCAGGTATACTTACCAGTTACCAAGTAGCAAGAATGTGGGCTTAATGTCCAATTCTGAACAGTTTTCATATTCGACCTCTGAACCCTCCACCATTTTCTCGCTTTTCATTTATTAGGCTCAGAAAAATGTATTATTTTTGTTAAACTTATATATTAAAAGGTTTATGTGAATTTTAAAAAGCCATATCGTTTTAGTCTGCATAACGTGTATTCATTTGTATATACAAGTTATGTTGTACTTCAAAAGCGTTATATGTCCTAATTCTTATTTATTGCATAACTTTTGTAATATAATTGAGCACTTAGCAAAATCTCTTAAAGAAATTGACTACGTTGATGGTGCCAAGACTAAGGGTATCGGGCCCATGATTTTGGAGGAAAAAAGGTTCTTTGTGTTTTATTTGCGTTTTATTTTATTATTTTTGTAAAGAATACAGGAGTTCACCGCCCAGGGTGGAGCGACCGCTGTTGGAACGTACTGCTACATGAGTCCACAGATTTTGCAGGGACAACCCTACAAAGATAAGGTAGTCTCATCTATTCAATCATTATTTATATAGCTCTCGTTTTACGATTTCACACTTGGGAGCTTGTTTTGGATATATATATATATATATATATATATATATATATATATTCTTGTTATTGTATGCGTTAGTGAGATAGAAACTGGACAGATTTGGAACGGTGAGTTAATAATGTGGATTTTTGGTCGAGTGAGTATTGCATATAGTAGACCTCTCTGGAGAAAATATCCTTATAAGGTAGTCTCATCTATTCAATCATTATTTATATATCTCTCGTTTTACGATTTCACACTTGGGATCTTGTTTTGGATATATATATATATATATATATATATATATATATATATTCTTGTTATTGTATGCGTTAGTGAGATAGGAACTGGACAGATTTGGAACGGTGAGTTAATAATGTGGATTTTGGGTCGATTGAGTATTGCATATAGTAGACCTCTCTGGAGAAAATATCCTTTCATTCCCTGCCTCATGTGTTCAGTTATAATTTTCAATAACGTCTTAATTATTTTATAACATTTGTGGTATATTCCAGATTCAGATAAATTCAGGCTGGCCTACTACTCTGTTGCGTACTTCATAGGAAGTGTAGTTACATAAGGGGCGTGCATTAATTCCAAAATAGGGGTGAGGGGGTTTGGAAATGTTTGACAGTTGTTGACAAGGGGGAGGGAGGGGGTTTTAGATTCTCTGACGTCAACAATCTTGTTTTCTCTATTAACATTTTAATCTTAAAATTTGACTGGTTATTATATTATTTAAACAAATATATAAGTGTTAATAAGTGTAACTAGTCATTTAATTTTTGGGCTTTTAACAACATAAAATTTATTTAATCTGTGTCTGTGCACTGCAGATGGCTGGTCAGAATGTTAGCACACTGTATTAGTGCCTGAGAAGTCAAAAGTTGGCCTCTCTTCACCGGTAGATTCTGTTGCAGGTATAGAACAAGGACAAGGTTTAAGTGTCATGTGCAGTCAAGATAAATAATATTGATAAGAGTAGGAATACGATATTTTGAGAATTAGGTGAATGTAAAATGGGCAACAATAATAACACCGCTGCTTGAACGAATTTGCAAAATCTGTAACATCCGATCTATTTTGCATCACAAGTTATGTTGAAAAAGCATGTTCAACGGAACCGACAATGCCCTTTTGAGCATAAGAAATTATCACCTGCTCCTCAACAAAAAAGGATTCGACCAATCATGGGCGCCCGCAGGTAGGGGCAAGGGGGGCATGTGCCCCCCTGGATTGATTTGATAAAAATTTTTTAGACAAAAAATGTATTAAAGCAGAGAAAATAAAGAGAAAGTAACTAAGTTGATGTCCTGTTCGTTCGTTCACCATACAAATACGCTACAGTAAATTAAAACTATATTAAAACATAACAAACAAAATTTTGCCCCCCCCCCTCTGGATTGAATTGATAAAAATTTTTTAGACAAAAAATGTATTAAAGCAGAGAAAATAAAGAGAAAGTAACTAAGTTGATGTCCTGTTCGTTCATTCACCATACAAATACGCTACAGTAAATTAAAACTATATTAAAACATAACTAACAAAATTTTGCCCCCCCCCCCTGAAAGTTAATCTATTTTTGCCCCCCTCCCCCAGAAAGTTTTCTGCGGGCGCCCATGCGACCAATGCAAGAAGCTGCAATGCTCACACTTACAATGCTTCTGTGTTAAGTGCTGAATGGTAAGATGAGGATGATGTTGACTTCTCTGATATATCAGTGCCATAAAATGAAAATGATCCATCAGTTTGTATAGACAATGCCCTTCAGGGGCATCATTTCCTGTTTTTCTCAGGGGTAGGAGGGGAAAAAAAACAAAACTGGTCTGTTTGTTAAGTTGTGTATTACTGGAGGCGCCACAGTACATAGCAATTTAAATAAAAAATGCAAATTGGGGGGAGGGTGGGGTGAAATGCCCCCTGCCCTACCCAAATGATGTCCCTGATGCCCATTTTTACGATAGAGAAAACCTGGCTACTCCTTGGAAAGATAATAGCAGGTAGAAACTATACTATTATTGCTAGCTTTACTGACAATAATCGTATTTATACCACAAACAATGATATTTAGTCTTTAACAACCTTTCAATTGATTCTGCAATATAAAATTTAAGTGTAAATCTTTTTAACTTGTTGATTAACAAGCTAATCAAAGCTAATCATGAAATGAAATGTTTTCCTACAATTTTGTGTCATTTAAATAGATAATCACAAAGTAAAATGTATTTGTAAATTCATTTTTAATATAAATCCTTTTTTGGTGGGAGGAAAAAGGGGGGGGGGGGGAGAACTTTTTCAAAACAACAGTACATTATTAACGTACAATCAATACGTGCTTAACATTTGTTGACGTAATTAATGGACTAATATAATAAATTGCTGGTTTTTCAAGTTAATAATAGTCTTAAATTTAATCTTTTTAAAATGGCTGCTTCTCCTTGGTCCTATTTCTTGAATTCGAGTCCCTCACTTTGTATTTTTGTAACCCTTACTACGGTACATTTTAACTGAAGGTTAGTTCGCCAAAAAAAAGGCCCTATTATACACTTATTTTTTAATGCAGTGCTGAAGTACTTGTTTGTCACGACGCAGCAGGGAGTCGCCTACAGTGTGAGGCTGTGTCTCGTGAGAATCAGCCATTCCAACATCCGTGCATTCTTTACACTTTGAATGCACCTGGTCGGACAACATAACGATCTAGATTACGATGCATCGTCTCTGTTTCCAAGTGACGGATTAAACCCTTTAATGTGCAAATTCATTAAATTGTAAAGATTACTTGGTTCTTCGATTTTTTTTTTTTTATATTTAAAAAGATTTTTCCTTGGTTTGTGTTGTTTATTTGGATTTCACATTATCTTCCATTCAAATGTAACACCAGTTTACATGTCTTTTCTAGTAGTGCAGCGCGTGATTGCCTCTGAATATAAAATGTTGGTGGAAATAATTAGATATTGTTTAACAAACGTTTAAAAAGTATCGAATCTTATCCATAAAAAATTGGTTTATATTATGCAGTCCATCTTAAAAATGATAAAATACAAGTTTTTATATCTTTGTATTTGAATGTTAAATTAAGTCTTTGAAGAAATTATTGTGGCTTTGAATGCCCTTGATTTTGATGCTGCAACGCTTGTTTGGACATACAAGAGCGTTTAAGAGTGGTTTTAATAATTTATTGACTAATGTTTTTGTCAATGTTTAATGGCCTGTGTTAAGTTTAAGAGATGGGTCTGTGATTTTTTAGATGTGCTCTATCCGTAGCTTTTCCTTGTATGCTTTTTATGTATTTAGTAGAGACCGACAGAATTTCGGATTCGGCTTTGGTTTCGGCGCCGAAAGTTGTCATTTTGTCCCTTTCGTCCTAGTTTCGGTTTCGGTCGAAAGTGAAAAATGCCTTCGATCTTCTACCAATGTCAGTTTGTCACTCTGACGGCTGGCAATCCGATATTAATTATTGTGCGACACATTGCTATCATCGGTCATATATAACAAATAATTTGCGAAAACTGTTCACCTGTTTCGTAAATAATTATGTATTGAGGCTGTATTATCAAACTAAACCAACATTCGCTAAACGTTTGTTCAATCTAGGACAAATCTAAAATTAGCCGACAAATTAAATGATAATTGCCGACAAACAATTTCAGGTTGACAAATAAGAAGACGAGTTTCAACCCCTCAAAAAATGTATGGATTCTCAGAAGAAAAGATTTGCTTCAAGTCTTGTGTGTTGACATTTTAATGGGCGATACCATTAAACAATACACAGCCTAACCTCTAGGTTGATACCCTTTGTATGTTTAGATAGCGTTGTAATTCTATTTTAAGAGAAGGGTTTATTTTGCATGAATTTTGCCCTTTCCCCAGTTAAATTTTCAAATTACAATACTAATTTAAATTTTATTGTTTATCAGCTTAAATTTTTTTTTAATGCAAGTACATTTCATTGATAAATTGTATGAGAGTCATTTAAGAAGAATGAAAATTGCCACAAAAGTTGTTCCATCATTTTTCGCGGTCAGAAGAACATGTGCGAAAACGAGTTTTGAAATATTCAAAATTTTCGGCTTTGGCCGAAGCTGAAAAGTTAAGTTTCGGTTTACTTTCGGTTTCGGTCGAAATGCATTTTTAACTTTCGGCCTGGTTTCGGTTTCGGTCGAAATCAGAGAATCACTTTCGGTCGGTCTCTAGCATGGAGCATTCCTTTAATGTGTAGTATTTCCTTGCTGATGCAAAGCTTCTTCTAGATAGGCGTATAAAATTTTGTAAAAGTGTTGCTAAAAGAATGTGTAAAACTATGATGTATGGCCATCTGGTCCTGAAGATTTTTTTTTTATTTGATGTCTTTTAATGTTTTCTAATGTCTTGTCTTTTTTTATGGGTTAGGTTTTCTTATAGCCTTTTGTGAACAGTGGCCACTTAACATTCTCAGTGGGCACTTAACATTCTATGTAAGCGTGTATTTGCTCACTTATTTGTAATGTTAAATATGAAAGTTCTTCCTTTCGATTTCATCCATCTCTCTTGTGGTTATGTGATTCATTTTCTGTGTTTATGTTTGTCTCATGTAAAAATTCAAATCTAATTTATGTTTTCCAATTGAATTAATGAGTGTTGTTCTTTGTTTCGGCTACATCTAATCTTAGTTGATAAAATTGTGAGTTGTTTCGTTCTCATAATTGCTTTGATAGTCGTGTTTTGATTACGGTAAAAGGAATTTAGTCTAGGTCTCCTCGCTTAGCAACGTGTTGTACATGATTGTTCTTTGGTTTTCCTTCTTTTGGACAACATGAGCTTATAAAAAAAAGGACCCACGGTTGCTCAATATTTGTTTTATAGGAAATGGTTGATACCCTGAGAATAAGTGTCATTATATTAGCGGTCGTCCATTTATTATGTCAAGAAAATAAGGGGATGGGGTCGGGAAATGTTTGACAACTGTTGACAAGAGGGAGGGGGGGGGTAGAGTAGTTGACGTCCCCAAACATGTTTTCTCGATTAAAAAGTTTGTCTTAAAAATTGATTGGTTATAACATTATTTTAACAAATTTAATGAGTGTAAATTAAAATAGTTGTATAGTTTTTAGTTTTATAAAACTTTAACTTGTTTATTAACAAGCTAAAGATACAATAAAAAAAGTATTCCTACAATTTTGTGTTATTAAAATAGATCAGCACAAAGTAAAATGTATTTATATATTTTATGTATATTATAATTCATTTATGGAAAAAGGTGGGGGGGGGGGTATAGAAATGTTGACATAATTACTTAAGGGGGCCATTCAAAGTTTGACAGTTGTTGACAGGGGGTGGGTGAAAAATTGATTTAAAATGTTGAAGTAATTAAGGGACACTCATTTATGGAAAAAGGTGGGGGGGGGTATAGAAATGTTGACATAATTACTTAAGGGGGCCATTCAAAGTTTGACAGTTGTTGACAGGGGGTGGGTTAAAAATTGATTTAAAATGTTGAAGTAATTAATGGACACCACCTTAGACTGTATCGTGAGAAAATGTGTTTATTTATGTTATTGCATATATTTTAATTCATTAAAAAATATCCCTGAGGTACTTAACTGAACTAACAAAGCCACGAAATCTATATTGTACTTGAACTATCGTGAACTGACCAGCGAGAACTAATTCTCGTCCAGTGGTCATACACCTTATATACACCTGTAAAGCTCACAAAACCTAATAACGCACAAACTATAAACCTTTAGATACAACACAGTGATTCTCATCCCTGTCATGCCCGTACATGTAAATTTATATAAAATGTATGAAGTATGTTTAAGAACAATATACTATCGCTTAGATTCTTGAGTGTTTTGTCACCTTTTTAATTACATGTAAATTAATCCCTTTCCATTTCTCCTCATGTCTTCTTATGTTCAATGTGAATTTATCTTCTTAATTTTCAATGTTAAATTCCTCTAACTCTAACCTTTGCCCACCCTAAATGCAAATATTTAGTGAATGAAAAGGCCCTAATCGGATGTACGCTTTTCTTTAATCTATTGTTTGTCAATTTTATTAAAGAAAACTGTTTAATTTGGATTTCTGTTAATTTGATCCAATTTTTTCCTTTTTTTCCAGACAGATGTTTGGAGTTTAGGGTGTGTCTTCCATCAGGTTTTGAGCAAAAATCCCCCGTTCAAATTTTTTTTTTGGATGGGCAAACAAACGGTCAATGTGAGCTGCTGTTGTTAAAACGCATTAAGCGTTTTTTACCTATTCATATGTAATCCGATGTATCATCATTAGTGTTTTACTCAGCTATAATAAAATGAGCAATATATTGTTTTAATTGTAAAATTGTTGAGTCCGTGGGTGGGGGTAAAATGTACATTACTGAGGCAAAGCTTTTTTCTTTCACTAGTTTCAGATACCGCCTATGCCATCATCATACAGTCAGGGGCTTAGAAATTTGATTTTGACCGTTCTGGACATGGAGGAGTCGACGAGACCATCAGCCGAGAAGATTTTGGGCGACTTAGTCGTAAGTTAAAATATTTAATATAATTTGATTTCCGACAAATAGCGATTGCAATGGCAGTCAGACAAGGTACTTCTGGTTGAAACTAAATTACTTTTAGTAGTTGAAGTAATTATAGTGTAATCAGCTTGGTTCACTTTCCTACACAGGAATGACACATTAAGTTAAAGTTAATTTAAAGCGAAGAAGCTTCATAGCTAATAGAGTTAATCTTTAAAAGGGGGAAAAGAGACAAGAAAAAAAAAAAAAAAAAAAAAAAAAAAATTAGATTAACTGCGCTTTTGTTTGTGTCTGACATAATGACTGGCTGTGTGGAAAAATTTTAGGACGGCTAATTGGCTCACTTCCCACCAGGCTAGCTACCATGTTTGGCACACAAACTCGTTGCCAATGACAACACATTCTCTCAAATGTTCAGCCCCAACCCCCCCAAAAATCCGTTTTCCCTGTTTTTCAAGGAGAAGATAAAATGAATTTCTTGATAACTAAGTGATATTCTTAAAATAAAATGGCAAGGTCATTTGATGGGAAATATTTTCTTTTGTTTTTTTCTAAAATAGTTGTTGCAATAAATCCACGGTGTATAAGCGGGTCGGTCTTTAGAACATAATTGGGGGGGGGGGGGCGCACTAATTTTGATTTTTTTAAAAATGCGTTACTTGTATGCATGATTTGTCCGATTTTCAGCCCCCTCCTCCCTTCCATTGCTTGATTTTTACATCTTATTAAGGATTTATCGAAATACTTTCTATGAATACCTTAGGGTTATTTAATTACATTTGTTTCATATTATTTTAAAAAAAACTCTTAAACTTTGCTGGTCAAAACTCACAAATGCCCAAAAACTAATAGTGTAGGCGTAGTGGTTAAAAAAAAAAGAAAAACAGTACCAAAGGTGACTTATTTTGGATATCTGATTTAGGCGCCTTTTCCTTTTAATAAAGTATACATGCAGGCACATATTTAGAATGAAAAGTGCATATTTTGCCTCACTCTGAAGGTGACGTCGAATTCTGTAAGTTAAAGCGTTAACCAATATTTTTACTGTACAAACGGACTATGGGAAAAGTCAATTACGCTCGAGCACTTCAAATCACTAGAGTGAGGTCAGACCTGGAATATCGTTGAGTAATGTGACAAATGAAAAATTATAGTTAAAAAACACTAGAAATGGGGACTTGTGGTGGATAGCATTATTTGTTTCTAGATATTGGGGAGGGGGATCACAATGGGCTCGGAATCCGAATGGAGTCAAGATCTTGATGGGATATGGAATCCCATTTGGAAACGGGATCCCAATCGAGATTGGTATCCCAATGGGGTAGGTATCACAATGGGAATTAGATCCCAATGGGATCGGAATACCGACGGGATCAGGATCCCACCAGAACATTAGAATGGCAGGCTATCCAGTTGAGGGCATAACTGAAAAGTGATGGGCCCCAAATTCAGTGTTTACAAGAGCTATTTTAAATGTGGTCTTATATAGGAGACAGTTGTAATAGTTAGTTGCTTTAGTGAAATGTTTCTGACAGCGTGTTCGCTTATAATGCTTTATACGATTTTACCAAATACAAACCCAAGCAAAATCGGATATATTGGTTAATTAAGGTATTGAAATTAATTGCAACGAAAACCTTTATTTTATACATTCTTGAAAGCGCATGGTTCAGAATAAAATCTTATTAAATAGGCATAAACCAAAATAATAACAACAACAACTATCAACGAACGGCATTGACAGGCATTTGACTGAGTGCAACCCCAAACCATTTGGAAATATTATTTTAAGGACTTTCTGAATTGAATTATTTAAACAAAATATAGCCCACGTTTAATTTGGCTGTGATTCATTGTTTCGTTCTTATGACTTCACCTAAATCTGTAAAAACATTCATATTTACGCTGTCCTTTAGATTTTAGCTAAGTATTCCATGAATTTTTCTCCCGATGAATATAACTCAAAACGATGTTTTGGCTCGATCCTTGTCCCTGCAATAGAGTATTACAACACAACCAGACCATAGCTTTTAGCTTTTTAAAATCTCTGAAATGTAAGTTAATTCCGAATTTGTATTATCTACACGGCATTTGCATTATTTTTATACCAGATTTTTTGACATTTTTAACTTTACATAACATCTTTTTTTTCTCATAGCGCCTGCAAAATAGACCATATAACCGTCAACAATATGTTCGTCTTCCGATGGAGGTTGTTGACCATGAATCTCTGCTCAATTGTCTTAAGAACCAGATAATATTACGATCATTGATTCAAATAGTATCAGCACTAGCGGCTCACCCTGGTGGTTACTAGGTTCGGGAGCTGTCTCTGGCTTGACTGCTGTAATAGCTGGTAGCTGTACACCATCAAATAAGTCCAAAATAACCAGTAACAGTGTATAATTTTAAATTTTTTAATTTTTAATTTTAAACTAAGAATAACTTACCATTACACATTCTATCTTTAAAAAATGTGTTATTTTCCTTGCAATTTTCTTTTTAATGACACAATTGCTGGTTACGAATCTCATACATAATTTTATTATCGTGATAAAATTGCAAAATCAAAGTAAAAAGTTGATGTTTTTTTCATGTGCGATTGCAACAAAAGAGTTATAGTGGTTTCCTGTGTTGGTGTTCCCAGATGCGGTAAACTCATATTATCAAGCCTCCTCCCCTGGGATCAGTTTTCCTGGGGTCAGTTTATCAGATGGCATAAAAGGTCCCATAATGAGGTGACCCCTTTAATTAAACAGGTCAAATGTTAAAAATTTTGATGACTTTCAGAGCAAGTATTGTTATCAGTAAATAAGACCCAATATAAGGTTTCAAAGATGAAGTTAACAAAAAAAAAGTATACTGATGAAAACTGACACTTTGAAAAATATCACTGCCAGATTAGACGCGAAGGAAGAAAAAAAGAAACAACAGATAAGCTTCCAAATGAGGAAATAAATCTCTCAGGTTCTATAGCCGTTTTTCGCGTAAACGTTTAGCCTAATAATGCACCGCAGTGTCAAGCCTCTGGATTCACGCCTTTTAAAACACAAAACTTGTATACACATTTTATCCTACTTTTAAATCAGCAACGTTTAAAGTTATTGCAGAGAAGGGCCTTGAAGATGAAGTAGTGGAAAATATTATAGCAAATATTATTATAGGTTATCCAGTATTGTCAAGTGCATAAGAATGTTGGTTGCCAAGTAGAGGTATTAAGCTGTTGCCACAAATGCGAAAAATAAAGTAATTTTGAAACTTTATTTCAATAGTTTCTAACGCTGGTGCATCATAGCATAACGATAGAGAGAATAGTCATTTAAGTCGCAAAAAGTGTATATTTAAAATTATGGCATATAACCGATTATTCTGACCAGGGAATGCGATGACTCTATGAACATATAAAAATGTCTTTAAAATACTGGTGCTATTTACTTAATAAGTGAAATGTGAGAGGGCATTGTCCAAGCCAAAGATTATATAGACAAGGCTTACAGTTCACTGCTTCAGGGGAGTTTAATACACACACGACATCAGTTTGCAAAGGATGTGTTACAGCAAGATTGATATTTACGATTATTAAACATATGCGATCATGAAGATGGCCATGGTCAATTTCTAATTATATATTATATATATCTATATATATATATTTAATATGTAGATGCACTTTGCGACAGGGTATCAAATCAGTCACTCCAACCGAGAGCAATTCAACACGCTCTCTCCAGTTAAAGTTATATCTCTCACACTGAACATAATCCAACTCCACGACCACTCTCGATCTCACGCCTTATATTCACGCACTTGTTTATTATTATCACTATCATCCAATGATCATTTAGCCACAGTAATACAACTCATGGAGCAACAAGTGTTCACACTAAAAACAGTGGTTTTCATACCCTTGACATATACGTTCTATTTACATATTATGTATTTCTTGAAAATTGTATTTTCGTTTCTTATAAAAAGTAAAATGATTGCCTCAAACTATACTTCTGAGTGGGCCCACTTTCCTTCCGCTTGACAGCAAATATTCTTAGAACCAGTCCGCCACTATCTAGGATTTCCCCATAGACTTCTACAAAGCCCTTAAGTACCGCACTTTAAATTGTAGGATAACATATAATAATTTTTGTAATATAGTTCCTAAAGTAAATGAACTTTAATATTACCCACTTAGTTTATTTTTTCTGCAGAAGCCTTTGCAAATTTTTCTTTAGATGAAGCAAAAAGACCGACTCCATAGCTCCAAGATCCAGGTCCGCTCCACAACCCTGCATAGGAAACCAACAAAATAGTTTTTGAATAAATATAGTTCAAGCACATCAATAAATATGTGTCTATTTTAAGTAAGATTATAACATACAGGTCAAACTCCATAATTGGAAAGCCTTGAATGATAAAATGGTAAATTGAAAATAATTTTCACAAATTCCTTCTTTAGTGAAGCCATTTACACAACAATTATCGCAAGGAATAAAGATGTCTTATACTTATAGTAAATTAATTTTTAGAGAATCTAGAACAGTAGTTCTCAACCTTTCTAGTGGCGCGACCCCTTAATACAGTTTCTCGTGTCGTGGCGACCCCCAAGCCACACAATTATTTTGGTTGCTACTTCACAGCTGTAAGGATACATGTTTTCAGATGGTCTTAGGCGACCCCTGGAAAAGGGTCCCGCGACCCCCCAAAGGGGTCGCGACGCACAGGTTGAGAACCGCTGATCTAGAAAGTCCCATTCATTTATGAATTTTCAAAACGTCTAAATCCAGGTATAAACTTTCTCAGCAATTGTATTTTATTCCCTAGTTCAACTTCATATAACTGATTATAGAAAGTGATCAATTGTGGTATGGGGAAGCATTTATTTTTCTTCATCGACATTCCAGTGTATTAAGACATCCATTGGTTGGTGGAAATCTCAAAACTTACACTGTGATCAAAACTTACACTGTGATCAAAACTTACCAGTGGCTACACTGTGATCAAAACTTACCAGTGGCTACACTGTGATAAAAACTTACCAGTGGCTACACTGTGATCAAAACTAACCAGTGGCTACACTGTGATCAAAACTAACCAGTGGCTACACTGTGATCAAAACTTACCAGTGGCTACACTGTGATCAAAACTTACCAGTGGCTACACTGTGATCAAAACTAACCAGTGGCTACACTGTGATCAAAACTAACCAGTGGCTACACTGTGATCAAAACTTACCAGTGGCTACACTTTAATGCATTTTTAGCAACGGCGTTTTGGCAGCAAAGGTGAGCGACTGGTCCATGCCATCATTTAAAATAGCTCTCTTCTTCTTTCGTATCAAGAGAAGTCGTGTGTTCCTCTATGGATTCCAGACTTTGGGAAATAATTATTAGAACATTAACCTCGTCACAGCATTGTGTCTGGTTTATGAAATGGTCCACCAGTTGTTTTTTTTTTCTTTGAAGAATTTCGGACTTCTTTTTGTATAATAATATTGTATCACCCTTAAATGGAAACAAAATCAACGAATAGGGTCCTCTTTTCAAACTGAGGATTGTCATTGCTCTGATCAAAACAGACACGTAATCAGAGTGACGCTTGTCAGGTTTTCATTTGAATTTGATTAGAACACACCTCGCAGACTTTATATCCACGAAAAAAACATCTTCTTAAAAGATTGTCCAGGACTTTAGTAAACTTTTTTAGAGTTTCTTTTGTGAGATAATATAAGGATGATTTAAGATCTTCTTTCATCAAGAAATTATATTTAAAGAGCATCTCAACCATGCAAAAAATTATTATTCAATAACATTTCAGCTTCATTGAAAAAGCCACTGATGCCAGAGCTTGTTTGGACAGTAACATTATGATATAAAAGCTTTGCGCCTATGAAAGCTGTCGATTCACATTTTCTCCTTTATGTCAATTAACATACCAATATCTCCATCATTTTTTGTAGCTTAAGATCTGTTGCCAATAAATCCCATTTTCAAGGCAAAACGGGTGCTTTTCAATGTTGTTCGTCCGTCAAAATCGACAAGGACCATCTGGTCATCTGGGTAGAAGTGGGGTGGGTCACGGTGAGTGCGTAGGTGGCTTGCTAGTCCGATTCATGCTCGGAAAAGTCTCTGGCACCGCGGGCAGGGGATAGTTGCTATAGTCGATCGTCTATTGCTGCTTTTTCGGGCTAGTCTGCGTGTCTCAGCTGTCACTATTCTTCTGGCGTCATGAGATTGAGCCCCCTTCTTGAACGCTGATCTCCACTTGGCTCTGTCCTGGGCTGTCTGCATCCATTCAGTAGGGTTGATGCTGATGGTCTTTAATGCTGCTTTCAGTGCGTCTTCGTATCGCTTTCTTTGACCTCCTTGGCAGCGCTTGTCTAGCGTGAGTTCATCGAAGAATGTCTGTCTAGGGAACCGGTATCTTCCATACGGTACACGTGTCCCGTCCAATGGAGCTGAGACTGCATCAGGGTGGTGAAGATGCTTGGTATATTCCCTCCAGCGAGGACCTCCGTGTCATACACTTGTCTTGCCACCTGATGCCTAGATTTTCCTGAGGCAGTTTATGTGAAAGAGTATGTACTTAGGGGCATATGACATTTGATGTATTCGATGCTATAGTAGTAGATAATTTAGCACGGTTAGTGTGCTATTGATTTTAACAATCCAGATCACTTTAAATGTACATTTATTACATATTATATCAGGAAAGGAAAAAATAGTAGAAATATTTGCTTCCAAAATCCTATAAATGGAGTATGTAAGGTTCACCTTCTCAGTTTGCATTACTGTTTTGTTTTGGAAAATTAATTTATATAATTTCTTTCAGAATGGACTTTGAATTTTTTCTCCACAAAATCCCCATGTAATAACATGTCATTTTATTGTCACTAATATGTTATATATTTTTCTTTTAGTTTGGTGGAGGTGTTTATTTAGCTATTAATAATAATATTCAGTATGTATGACTAGAATTTCAATATCGTAACTGCTTCTATAAACATTAACCTAATTCTTGGACAGGGAGTCAACGTTTATGTATATCTTAAAGCTAGTTTCAATTTCATCCACATTATTGTGAAAAGAGTAACTTTATTTGTTTGTTTGTTTATTTTTTTAAAGGGATGTGGGCATTTAAATTTAGATTAAGTATTAGAAAATAAACAAAAATCATTATTCTAAAGTCAAATCATATTGTTTCTTTTTCATCTGCGTGTCATCAAAACATGTCATTGTTTTCAACCTACATAAATTACAAAGAAATAATTGTCATAAAACATATTTTATACTTCATATAATTAAAAAAATATATCAGTGTTATAGCAATTCTAAAAAATTGGTTTACACTAATTATTTTCCTCTGGAGGGGTTGGAGAGTAACGTTAAAAACTTTTATTCTACTCGCAAACCCGCTAGGTTTGTCAGTTTGTACCTATGCATCATGATTTGTGTTTTTGTAGTCACACGTGACCCCTTCGCTTGGTTGAGCGATTCTCCATCGTGCTTACCTGTAAGATCGCATCTGAGTTGATTACAGAGAGTTAGAGCTCAAGCATTCTGGGTCAAGGGAGAGGGGGAATGGGGTGGTGAGAGGTGGGGAAATAAGAAAAAGTTAAATTAAAAAATAAAAATTTTAAAAAAACTTTCCCCTTCGCTTACAATAACTAAGGTTTGATCGATTGATTGATTTGATATTTATATCGCGCTGGTATCCATGTCACTTTAGCACGCTCACTGCGCTCTGATTAAACAAAAACGTTTTTAAATGTTTCCTCGGTGATTTTTTATAATTTTCAATTCCTCTCAAAGATTGAGGCAATTTGTTCCATAATTTTGGCGCTATCGTTGCAAAAGAGCGCACTTCGTAAGACTTTTTTATGTGTTCATCCACACTAGGAATACTCAGTAAGTATTGTGTTGAAAACCGCAGGCTCTTCAAGGATAGATGTTTATAAATCAGTTCTTTAAAATATTCCGGTGCTGAGACATCTATGCAGTTGTACGCCAGTGACAGAATTTTGTTCTAATTGTTGGATCTCGAGTGTGTGGATGGAAGGTGTGTGGGGGGGGGGGAGGGGGGGGGGGGGGGGGGCGGAGCCTTTCGTTATTTAGACTCTGATCAGTGAACGGAAAGCGAACAGGGGTAAAAAATAAACGCAATTCGTTAAATTCTACTTTTCAGTTTCATACCTGGGTAAAGAGCAAATTTCCTATTATCCGAGATTTTGTAGTCATTAGTTTTTTAAGCTCTTCTTTTCTAAATAATTTACAGTTTAAATCGTTCATACTGAAAAGTAGAACAAAAAAAAGATATTTAAACAGACTTTCTTTTAAAGACGAGTCGGGTTTAATCGCATTTTTAAAAAAAAATAATGTTCGAACAATTTCTTAACATTCTTTACGCAAAGAAATTATCAACTTCTCCGAAGATGACAATGAGGACTCCATGCTTCTTTCAGATGATGCCAAACCCTGGTTGTGTTGAATACACATCAACCATTCATAAAAAGACCACTCAACCAATCATTACCAACTTCCCCTCTGGCAAAGTACACCAGAAGCGTACCGTTAATCGCTAGTACAGCAGCACCACAGAAATAACTGGTGCCCCCATCGTTCATATCAAAGATAAGCGCCATATTCATAGCATGAGGACAACTATGGGTTGGTCCCTAATTATTAGAGGACTCCTTGAATAAGGAATTAGTAAAGCTTATGGCGTATAAGACGCAAGAAATAATGAGCTACACCCACCACACAAGCCACTTTACGATTTACGTCGATTAAAGAGGCTTCTCCACCGCCCAAGTCCTCTGCTGATTTCTACCTGCGGCTCTGCCAAGGACAGCCCAATACAAAAGAAACTCAAAAGGCAATATGGATAAACAGACAATGAGGACATCTAAGTCTCACAGAGATACAAGAAGGCTAGGACTTTCAACCCAAAACCAAGATCAGGAAGGAATTATTTTAATACCAAACTTGGTCGCAATTTTGATAAATTTGTGTACAACTACATCAATATCAACTACAGCTACATCATTAAAAACATCTACAAATACAGCTACGACTAAACTACTGCTGAAACTAAATACAAATGCTACTGCATGTAAAATACACATATAACTATTAACAAACACTACAACTACATCTAAAAATATATCTACAACTACAAATACAACTAAGACTACAGTTACTACTTCAAATACATCAACACTTAAAACTACAACAATAAATACAGCTACACATGGAGATACAACTACAAGTATAATTACCACTACATCTACAATTACATCAAATGCATTTGCGATTACACCTACAGCTGTAGCTGCAACTACAATTACATACCATATAACAAATAAAACTACAAATACAAATGCAACAAAAGCTACAACTGCAGATACATTTATAACAAAAAGCTACAAATACAGGTACAACTACAACAGCTACATTTACAACTTCATCTGTAACAGCAACTAAAGCTATGACAACATTCGGTGGCATAGCTAGTGTTGGTGTCACCCCGTGTTAAAATAAGTCAATATTAAAACAATGACAACAAAAAAAATACACATTAATTGAAGGTCAAGAGGTAAATGTATTTAAGAACTGTAACATTTCCTTAAAATGGCACGACCAACTCGTATTGGATATAGATGGAAAGCTTCATTTCTCATAATGTATATAAATATAACTTCCGGTAACTTACGAAAGTTACCGAACACTTCAATCATCGGCGATGAACTATGGTCAAATTGGTATTTTTCTGACCCAATGATAGGGTCACCTCATTTCCGACACATCTAACTTGAAATTTTAATAAAGCACACAATGGGGTTGGTTACATGTGTGGAAAATATTTACGTGTGATCGGTTATCCTGAAATTCGGTTAGACAGAGCAGTGTGTACTCTGTAAATATACCATTTTTTAATTTGATGTCTCTCCACACCCTTCAGATGGTGTCACATGGTGCGGTCCGCACCCACACACCCTCCCTAGCTACGGCACTAACAATATCTACAACTAAAACTACAAAAACGTTTGCAACTACACACGAAACACAATCTTCCTTTGTCAGGTACGTTGAGGCATTCACAACTAGGTTTGTTGAACTAGGTTTGTTGAAGTAGGTTTGTTGAGCAAGGTTTGTTGAACAATGTTTTTTTGAAGCTTGAAGTGAAATAACGGAACAATAAAAAGAGAATATTTAGGTCGATAGCCTTCTTTAGCAGACAAGACAAAACAAGAAATAACATTCATGGGGAATTTACGAGTTAATATATACATACATATATATATATA